TTTTGGGTTCAGCAACCCTAATAATAATGTCAAAATGTTTGGTTTGCTGAATAATGTATTCACTTTTGTAAGCCTTCATTGGTAATCTACAATGTTAAGTGTCAATGAAATATTTATATACTAATACAGTGTTTCTCAACCCTGGTCCTCATTGCCCCCCTGATCTGCATGTTTTAGATGTGCCTCTATTCCAGAACAGCTGATTCAAATGATTGCATGACCATCAAGTACTGCAGAAGCCTGTTAATCACCCAGGGATACAATTAGGTCTGTGGCAGAAACATTCAGGACAGGGGGGCGGTGAGGACCAGGGCTGTGAAACACTTTTCTAATATGTTATTTTCACTCTGTCTAAAGCTCCTCACGTTCTTGGGAGGATTGTAGGACCTTCAAGCCATACAAACTACAATATGTACAATAATGTGTGGAGTGAGTGTAAAAAAAAAACTTTGTTCATTGAAAGCACAACAGCATTTATTTTTGTTCTGTTTGTGTCAACCCTCTCCACGGAGCTCTGCCATCTCTGCTGGTAGTTGCTTCCTCCTGAAGGAGATCCAGTTGTTCTGACGGTTCTTCTCATCGTTGACCATCATGTCAGCCATGTTCATCTTCTTCTGTTCCCTGGGAAAAGTACCATATTTTCCACACTATAAGGCACTCTCAATTATGGCGTCCATTTCTGTATTTAACCCATACATAAGGTGCACCGGATTATAAAACGCATGCTAAAACATACGGTCAACTAAGAAAAGAAAAGGTAACGGAAACAAAACGGTAAGTTTAAGCTTTGTTCGACTATGTAACAATACACTCACGTTATTTTTTTATTCTTCTTCCACAAATCCATCAAAGTTCTCCTCTTCTGTATCTGAATTGAACAGCTGGGCAATTTCGCCATCAAACATGCCAGGTTCCCTCTCATCATTGTCGGAGTCAGTTTCGTTGCCAGGTGGCTGTTCAGCAATGATGCCGGCTTTTGCGAAAGCTCGGACAACAGTTAAAGCAGATACATAGCCCAGGCATCCACAATCCATTCACACGTGGTGACGTAACTCGCCCGGCGCTGCCTCCCCGTCTTAGTAAACATGTGTTCGCAGTCTGTCATCCATCGCTCCCACAACGCTCATTGAACGCCCTGTTTACACCAATGTCCAGCGGTTGGAATTCTTTTGTTAATCCTCCGGGAATGACGGCAAACTCCGAATTAGTTTGCTTCACTTCCTTTTTCACAGTAGCAGTGAGATGGGCGCTTATGGAGCCGCAGATGAACAGGGACGGTGATGCGTGGAAAAACCTATCTGGTTTTTATCGGAGGCGTATGCTGCAGAACTGGGACAACAATTCTCTGATTGGTTTATTGCTGCTGGCGTAAGTACTTTACGTGTTACGTAATGTCCTCTGATTGGTTTATCGCTGCCAGCGTACATCTTTGAGTCAGGGACAGATTTTGGAACTTGGTGCACACATAAAGTGCACCGGATTATAAGGCGCACTACTAATTTTTTGAGAAAATTTAAGGCTTTTAGGTGCGCCTTATAGTCCGGAAAATATGGTAATCAGATGTAACTTAGCTTGTATCATATAAATGTAGATAAATAAATAAATGTGGAAGTTACATACACAGAAGGAGTTATTTAACAGACATGTTACTTTACAAATATGCAAACACTTTCTTACCATCCAGATATACAGAATTATAAATAACTGGAATAGTTGTGTAAATTAAAGACAAAATGTAATTACTTTAAAGTTTTAGACCTATGCAGACATACAGCCATGGATAAAATACCACTCTTGTTTTCTTCAGGTTTGTTTTACATTTTTATGTCCTATACAATTAATAGTTCATAATCATTTAATTAGAGAACTGATATCTAGCTATTTTACAAAAATATATCAAATAACATGTTTTATTATCTCACAACAGCAGAAACTCCTGTGCAACAATAGCAAAATGAGAAACAACCGAAGCACGTAGATTCGCAGAGATAAAATATGAACAAATGAAGGCAACATGCTGTACACAATATTGACAGTTATTTATAACTGAGGAATGTGCAACTGAGTATCTTAAGAAAATGTGCATGTTGTGTTTGAGCAATAAAAATACAGCAGACTTTATGTTTCAAATGACTGTATGTAGGCAACCTTAAAAGTAGTAAAAACCAGACAGATATATCTCCAAACTGCTCACCTGGCTGGAGAGCAGCAGCGGCGTTAGCTGCATCTGAGTCGGGGTTCATCGTAGGGCGGCATCGGGCTCCGAAGCGGCAAAGGAGGGTTTCCATTCTCTCCGCTACGGTGACAAAAACGACTCATTCCTCACGGGTCCATCGAGCTGCTGCTTAATATTGAAATCCGAAGCAAAGAAAAGCCGGCATCTTTTAAAGTTCACCAGTTGTTTCTATCTTCCATCACTTCCGTGTTGCATTGAGTTTGAAACTTTGCGTCCTTGTATTTTCAGGCAGTTCGTTTTTTCGTTTTAAATGAAAAATGAGAAAACGGAAATAGACTCGTTTTTTTTTTTTCGTTTTCCGTGTATGGTTCGTTCTTTGGTTTTTTCGTTTCAAAATAAAATTGCAAAAACAAAACAAGCATGTGTTTTTTTGTTTTTTTCGTTTTTAAAACAAAATTAGAAAAACGGCAATTGCAAAAATAAAAAAGAAAATGAGCTGTCAATTTCGGTTTTCATTATTTCATTTTTGACAAGCGGTTTGTCCCGGAAGTTCTCTCTGTCCGGCTTACACAGGGATCGTATAACACACATTTTGCAGGCTGCAGGGAGACAAGCTTGTTCATTTCAGGCTATATACTGTAGTATTTTCTGCCAGCTGCAAGTCAGTTTAAGTAATTCTCCTGTGAGAAACAAATAATACCAGACATCTGGTCACCTAGAAAAATGGTTAGCCTGAGTTTTTAGTTTAGTTTTTTACTTTGAAAGGCCAGAGCACCGGGGAGTGGCTTTCCACTGCAACC